AGGGGCTGGCCGCCGGGACGGGAGGAGCGGAAAGGCGGGGCGGCCGCCGCGCCCGCCTCTAGCGTAGCTCGTGCCCTCGGGGCCCCCTCCTTCCGCGCCGACGCCGGTCAGCCTCCGGGTGCGGCTGTGCGCGCTCCCCGGCTCTCTGGAGAGTGAAGCCACCGAGGGATCGCATAGGTATTTCCCCCTCTTTGCTGTGTCATCGTGGTGCGTGGTGGCAGGAGAGAGGGCCCCGTCCTCAGGCTCGAGAGGGGCCGACGCGCTAGGTAGAGCGGGGAGCCCTGGAAGCCGTGCCCTTGGGACCCGGGAGCGGAGAGGCGCGGCGCGGGGCGGTCCAAGTGAATGTGGAAGCCGGTTCCGTCCGAAGGCGCGGCGGCGGCGGAGCGCGCACAGCTACTTGGCCTGGCGTGAAAAAAGGAAGCGCTGACCCCGGGAGTCTGGACAAAGGCTTTGGGCTCTAGCAGCGGTGCCTTCGGCTGATCCCCGTCCGAGGATTGATGGATGTTGGGGCGGTCCCGTGCCGTGCGGAGTCGCCTTCATGTGCAGTGCCTGTGGGGGACCGTGGCTCTGTCTTCGTGCCTTTGGGTTTCCTTTTAACCATCCACGTTGTCAGAGGATAAGAGGCAGGTCATCATGAGGAGTAATTGTGGACTGGGGCTCGATTATTTTATGCAGGGGAAATTCATGCGTTTAGAGTTGGAATGTGCTTTATCATAGCTGGGTTTTAAGGAATTTTCGCTCCCTCACCAAGTTTGGGAAATGACTTGTTCCTCGCTAGTTAAAATCAAATGGATCTGAAATGATGCCTGTTTAAACGTAGCCTCCCTCCAGTGTCCCTCTCGGGCTTGATTAGAAGGTGCGCATTTCTTGTTCAGTGATAATGGTGATCAAGGGGGATGAATTGTTGGATAAAAATAGCAAAATGAGTTTACTTATTTCACTGACTTGCCCGTAAATGAGCTTTTAAGGACCCATTTCCTTTCACAGGTTAGACTCACCGATCTCTGTCTTTAAATCAACAGTTACAAAAAATACTTTTGTTGCATTCAGAAGTCGAAAAATTTTAAGTGCTTTAGAGTATTCTGTTTTGTTTATTGTGTAATGTTCTAAGGATAGAATTTCTGCAGAATTTGCTTAAGGAAATTACATGGCAACCACAGGAAAAGTGCTCATTTTGAGAACTGATCTCTTATAGGTGGTCTTCTTGTGTGGTATTGTAGAGAGATCCATGGTGCATTACCCTAGTGTCTCAAGGGCAAGAAAGTTTAAGCATTAGATATATTTAACTGTGACAAATTAAAAGTTTTTTTTTTATATAGTTTGCTTGAATTGAATTCACGAGGTTTGTGCTCATGAACTGCTTAGCGAAAATACTTTTTAAAGTTAGGGAGCGTCAGTTACTAGGAATCTTTTGAGTTTGACGTGTTCCTTGAAACATCGCTAACTTTTCTTGTAGATTTATTATGTTCTCAGGGTAAATCCCTTTAAAAAAAAAAATTGGATGGGACAAATGATGTGCACTTACGCTGCTTTCTAAAATATTTTAAAAGTATAAAAGGAGCTAAGTCAGTTTGCCTAAGTAGGAGTCTTAGAACTTGAATGGGGACAACTATTCCAGAATCCATTTATAGTTTTTGTTAAAACGCTGGTGTGGATGTTGGTTTATTGAAGAAACTAGGCTTGTACTCGATTTTTTTTGTACTGTGCAGATTTTTCTTTTAAATAGATGATTTTTTAAGAGCAGTTTTTTAGGTTTATAGCAATATTGAGCAGAAATTACAGAGATTTCTCATATACCTACCATGCAAGTATTTTAATAGTAAATTTCAATAGTTTTAATACCAGTTTGAGATTGATAATTAAGATGTAGAATGTGCCAAGTAATTTATTGTTTTTTTTAGTTTAGCTTATAGTTTAAAAACTTTTATCTGTGGACCCTTTTCAAAGGAAAATAGACTTTGCAGACCTCAAAGAATATGTGTTCAGACCCCACTTTGTGGAAGAGTGGTACTTAGATGTAAGTACCAAATTAAAGCAACCTTTATTTGCACATTAAAAACAAATTCATGATGATTAATTTAGCAGTTCTTAAAAACTTATTTGGAAAGACTACATTAAATATTGTTTGGGTATCTCTGAAAGTATTAGATGTGAATTTCCTTAAACACTAAGTTGAGATTTTTCAGTAGTTAATATTGATAGTCCCCAGACATCCCAAATTAATGTATTTTTATTATATTTTTACTTTTCTACATTGTCATTTGTGTTTCTTCATTAAAACTCAGAACACTTGTTTGAAATGGAATAAACTTATTAGCTTAAGAAGATTTGGTATTTATCTGAACATTTTCCGTTTGCCTTGAGAGGAATTTTAATAGTAATTCTTTTAGGAGTTTAAGGAGTAATTGAGTTTAAGATATGGAATAGTAGTAACTGAGATTTTTTTATGTTAGGGATATTTTAGTATTTGCCTTAATTATATTTGGTTCCATGTTTGGAAGTGTGAGCTGTATATGTAGAACTTAACATTGTATCCAAATGATAGCCATTGTTTGGATTTTGTTTTAAAAATTAGTGTTTGAATTTGAAATGTTAGTGTTTATTTTATCATTTGAATGGTTGCTCTTTTAATTTGATTTGGTTTTATGTTTTGAAAGGGAGAATTGCTAGAGAGTTGGATATAATAATGAGTTAGGTGTTTGGTCTTTCCATGGTTGGAAGAAATAGAGAGTTTTAGGGAATTTTTTGCTGTTTTTAAATTGCCATTTAACTTGTGGAACAGTTGTCTTTCTTTTTTTTTTTTAAGTGTATGTAAAATTTATATAAAGTGAAATGCACAGACCTTAAAGATAGAATTCATTTAGCCTTAATAAATTTATACACCCATGTAACCAACGCTCCAAGTAAAATATATAACATTTCCATCATCCCCTTTCCTTGTACCATTTCCAATCAAGTTTAGTTTATAGAAGTTTTTTTGTTTTTAAATACTTTGCAGATGTCTGCTTGGAATTTGTACCTCCTTTTTGCTAGAGGATGATTCATTTCCTCTTGGAATAAAGAAGACCATCTTGTAATGCCCGTAGTTGTGGTTCCTTATATTACTTCACTTTTTAAATAGGTCATTCTGAAGTGAATATCCTAATCTGGCGTTGTTTAAGATCAATTACAGGGTCCTGGGATTAATTATATTTCATTTTCTTTCCACAGTTAAGTTGCTTTTACAGAATTAACAGGTCTCCAAGAAATAATAAAAAGGTAAGATATTCAGAGCTTAAGGCTTTTCAGAGAGGCTTGACAAAAAAAATGTAAAAGTAGAATAATACATCTTAGGTACCTGCCTTCTGTACTTTGTGTCTGGCCAGTGATGCACTAGTAGTAAGCAATTTATTATCTTGAACAATAATTACATACTGACCATAGACAGCTTTTATAAATATGTAAAATTCCTCCTGGTAAAATTCTTTAATCCACAGAGTTCCCTCTCATGTGTCTGTAGAAGATACGTTTCTTAGTGAGTCTGAAAATAGTTTGGTCTTGTTGTGAAGCAGCACTTGGCAGACTTACAAAGATTTGATATTCTTGATGTTCCTACTATATAGGATAGGTGATATGAAAATGTATCTTCAAAGTAGTTGGTTTATTTGTATGTTTAGATAGGAGGGAGTTTATTCCTTGTTGTTGTGTTTTTTTCTTTTAAAGAATTAGATACCATCAGTATTTTTGTGAACTTGTATTTTGTTTTCATTTATAAATGCTAATGAAGGTAGGAACCAAGTAATTATTAAGCTTAGTGTGGGATAAGGTACTTCAAAAGTAAGACTTGCTATTATGTGTACCTTTTTGTCTGCAGGTCATTATTGCTGTGATTTGAGCTCAGCATGGCAGTAGTCATCCGTTTACTGGGGCTTCCTTTTATTGCTGGGCCTGTGGATATTCGCCACTTTTTCACGGGATTGACTATTCCTGATGGAGGAGTGCATATAATTGGAGGGGAAATTGGGGAGGCTTTTATTATTTTTGCAACAGATGAAGATGCAAGACGTGCCATAAGTCGTTCAGGAGGGTTTATCAAGGATTCATCTGTAGAGCTCTTTCTTAGCAGTAAGGCAGAAATGCAGAAGACCATAGAAATGAAAAGAACTGATCACTTAGGAAGAGAGCGGCCAGGATCTGGGGCATCAAGGGTTGGCTGCTTACCTAATTTTGTTGAGGGTATTAAAGAAGAAGCAAGTAATTCTGGATATGGCTCTCCGATTAATCAAGATGCTGGGTTTCATACTAATGGTACAGGACATGGTGATTTAAGGCCAAGAAAGACACGGCCATTGAAGGCAGAGAATCCTTACTTGTTTCTGCGAGGTTTGCCTTACTTAGTAAATGAAGATGATGTACATGTGTTTTTTTCTGGTTTGTGTGTGGATGGAGTAATTTTCTTAAAACATCATGATGGCCGGAATAATGGTGATGCCATAGTAAAATTTGCTTCATGTATTGATGCTTCAGGAGGTCTTAAATGTCATAGAAGTTTTATGGGCTCCAGATTTATAGAAGTAATGCAAGGCTCAGAACAACAGTGGATTGAGTTTGGTGGTAGTACAGGTAAGGAGGGCGACGCTCCTGTGAGAACTGAAGAACATTCTCCACCGAGAGGAGTAAACGATAGACATTTTCGAAAACGATCTCATTCAAAATCTCCCAGAAGAACACGTTCTCGTTCCCCTCTTGGATTTTATGTTCACTTAAAAAATCTGTCCCTGAGTATTAACAAAAGAGATTTAAGGAATTTCTTTAGAGATACTGATCTGAGTAATGAACAGATTAGGTTCTTATATAAAGATGAAAGAAGAACGAGATATGCCTTTGTGATGTTCAAGACTCTGAAAGACTATAACAGTGCCCTGGGCTTACATAAGACTGTTTTACAGTATCGTCCGGTTCTTGTTGATCCGATTTCTAGAAAACAGATGCTGAAGTTCATCGAATGTTATGAAAAGAAGAGACCGGCATCAATAGAGAGAGAGAGGCTTGGACATGTTTCGCAAAAACACTCTCAAGAAGGCTACTCCGGCCAGAAACTGTGCATATATATAAGAAATTTTCCATTTGATGTTACAAAAGTTGAAGTGCAGAAGTTCTTCGCAGACTTTCCTCTTGCTGAGGATGACATTTACTTGCTTTATGACGACAAAGGAGTTGGTCTGGGAGAAGCATTGGTGAAATTCAGATCAGAAGAACAGGCCATGAAAGCTGAACGTCTCAACCGTCGAAGATTCTTGGGGACAGAGGTGCTGTTAAGACTCATATCTGAGGCACAAATGCAGGAGTTTGGTGTAAATTTTTCCTCGCCGTCCAGTAAGAGAAGGCAAGACCATTCGCAGTCACGTGACCGAGATGACCCGTCCCACTCACTGGACCCGAGTGACCCGCCCGTGTACGCTGTGGGCCTTTCTGAACACTTGAGGCGTCGGCAAGAAGACTCGAGGCAGCCGGGCCACTTCAGGCACCCGCAGGGCGATTTCCCGCCGCCTGGCCGGTGCCCTCCGGAAGACTTCCGGCAGTCTCCGGACGGCTTCGGGCACCCTCGGGAGGGGCACTTCCGGAGGCCTCCCGAGGACGACTTCGGGTGCCCCTGGGAGGATTTTAGGTGCCATCCGGAAGAGGACTGGAGGCGGCCCCCTGAGGAGGACTTCCGGCAGCCTCCCAAGAAGGGCTTCCGGCGATCCCCTGAGGACTGGAGGCGGCCTCCCGAGGACGACTGGCGGCGACTTCCCGAGGGAGAGTTCAGACGGCCGCCTGAGGATGACTGGAGACGACCCCCAGAGGATGACTTTAGGCGGCTCCCCCAGGCGGAATGGAGGCGACGACCTAAGGAGGACTTCCGGCGGTACCCTGAGGAGGACTTCCGGCGAATTGCAGAGGAAGACTTCAGGCAACTTCCCGAGCGGGACTTCAGGCGGCCACCGGAGGATGACTTCCGACGGACTCCGGAGGAGGACTTTGGGTATTCTGAGGAGGACTTCCGGCGGCCGCCCTCGGAACACTACCGGCGGCCGCCCCACGAGCACTTCCGTCGGCCCCCCCAGGAGCACTTCCGGAGGCCGCCCCTGGAGCACTTCCGGCAGCCCCGAGAGGAGGAGCTCAGGCGCCCGCCGGAGGAGGAGTTCAGGCGCCTTCCGGACGAGGACTTCCGGAGCCCGCGGGAGGAAGGCTTCCGGTGCCCTTCCGACGAGGACCTCAGGCGGCTCCCGGAGGAGCTCGGGGAGGCTGCGGAGGACTCGAGGGCCCCGGCAGACCTGGGGCCGCCCGGCGAGGCGTTCAGGGGCGCGTCCGAGGAGTTCCGAGGCCATCGCCCTTTCGTGGATTTCGGTCGCCCAGAAGGTGGCAAGTTTGATTTTGGAAAGCGTAACATAGGGAGCGCTCCTGAGGAGAGGTTCCTGCCCGACCCAAAGTTAAACTGTAGTTCAGGTAGAATAACACCCATTAAGGTCATGAATCTCCCATTCAAAGCTAATGTGAACGAAATTCTGGACTTCTTCCACGGATACAGAGTCCTGCCCGGCTCGGTGACGATGCAGTACAGCGAGCAGGGCCTGCCCACGGGGGAGGCCGTCGTCGCCATGGCCAGCTACGCCGAGGCCGTGGCCGCCATCCGGGACCTGAACGACAGGCCGGTGGGCCCGCGCAAAGTGCGGTTAATTCTGCTCTAGAGGGGGCTTCGCATTCAGCGTTCACCCCCTCCCCCAGTACTGACGCAGTAAAACGCATTTATGTTTTTTAAAAAAGTGTTTATTTTAATTATCTAATAAAAAGGAACGTTTTAAATTTGACCTGTGACTAGAACAAATGTTAGTAGTAGAATGTAAGTCTAGCTTTCTTTTGCTTGCAGATTGTTTACTTCTAATGAAAGCTCTGTGGTCTTCTCGTTTGACAGTGGGGAAGAGGAATAGCCCCGGCGCGTTAACTTTGTGTTGATGTCACGGGCAGACCTCAAGACCTGTATAAGTAGAGCTGTGTTTGGAGAAGATACCTCTTATATTCGCTTCTGTTTGCATTCTGTAGTCTACACCTTCTACTCAAAATGTATAAGGAAATGGTCAGTAACTGTTTGTTCAGGGTTAGCATTTTCTCTGCTGCCTGCCTGCAGAATTAATGCCCTCCTCCTTGTCTGATGTTACTGTGTGACGCTTCCCATTAATTATAAATACTTCAACATGAACATACTGTGAAGTTGAAATTATGTAAGAAGTTAGGAGATTCTTACTTTCAATTTGAAAAGTTTTATAAAAATAAAAAAAATTACAACTGAATAGACCAACTAATTAACTTGTATTTGTATAAAAGGTAAAAAGAATTACAGCTGCTTTTGTGAAGTTTTCCAACAGCTACATTAAACAATATGATAGGAGGGACCAAACATTCTGTAATACTAGCGTAGAGTGTTATGTATAGTTCTATGGTTTCTTCAACATCTCATCAACCAAACTGGTAATATTAACTCAAACTACTTAAAAGACAAAAAATAAAGTAATTGTAAGTATAAGGAAACTCAGGCTTATGCTGGGAACTCCTGATAAATGGGTATAGTTTGTGTTTCTAGGAAGAATTTTCTGATGATTCATGTAGCTTTATTCTTAGGTTCTCTTTTTCTTTAATTTCAAAACTTTGTATCTAAAGACTCAATAACTAAATAAGACTTTTTTGAGATAGAATTTTGACTTTGATACTCAGTATTCAGTATAAACATTTTGTAAGTGCTGGATTTGGTTTTTCTATACCCATACTAATAACGGCTAACAAATACTGAGCACTTACTATGTGCTAGGAAGTATAAAGTGCTTTACATGCATGATCTCAGTATGATAAGAACCATATAGTATTTACCTCTTTCACAAATGAGATAATGAAGTTTAGAGAGGTTAAATAATTTACCTTAAATCATGGAGCTAGTGTCAACGCAGACTCACCACTGACTTCAGTTCATGCTCTTAACACTTCTGCCTACTAACTTTGTTAAATGGTACTTTAAATTTTAGTAAGATCATGCTAAAAGTATTTTCAAGAGGGAACCATATTTTCTTCCATTGTTTTAAAAATAGCATCAAAAATAAAATTAGTATTAGACATTTATCCAGGTTTCTCTTGGATACTAACATTATATATTGGCTTCTAATTTAAAACATTGTTCATTTTATCAAACTAGATTTGACTTTGGCCTTTTATAGTTAGATAAAACCAATTTCTTTCAATTCTGTGATCCAGAGATTTCCCACATTGAGCAAATATAAAATTTGAGTTTATATACAGTAGTTGTCATTTAATAATAGGATATTGCAGAAGTAGAATACTTTGTCAGTACTTAGCCAGTTAGTACTACATGTATTTTGGATTAACCTTCCATAACTTAAAGTCTAAGAGAAGCCAGCCTTAGTTTGTTTTTATTGATAGTGAATATCCTGCTTGCTAGAATGAGTAAACTGGTAAATTTGGTTCAAAAAAAGCACATCAGTATGGCTCCTTAAACTAGTAAGCTTATAAATAGCTAGGAAAATGATAAACTAATACCCAAACCAAACACAAAGAGCAAATAGGAAGAAATACTTTTAAGTCCTAAAAGATTATACAGATGGTTCGTTTGATCAGCATTCGTGAGGAATGTATGGAAGATAAAAACGCTTCTCACATACATACCAATAAAAGCTAAAATGCAGCTTAAAAGTAAGACGTCACAATGTGGAACCGCTGAAAATAGGCTGGGGTGGTGTGATGGTGGTAGATAAGAGGCCAACAATAGTAAATAAGATTTAAAAAAAAAAATCCTCAGGGGACCCAGGATCAAACCTATAACCTTATTGGTGTATGGGAGTATGCTCCAAACAACTGAGGCACCCAGCCAGGTGTAAACATAAACCTTTGTATTTTGCTTATAAATGTAAAATTAATGAATTGATATGAATAATTTTACTCTGTAATCAGTTTGATACATTTTAAAACTTTTTTAAGTAAAAAGTTTATTATACACATCTGGCTTCTACTGGTTGGGAGCCATTTCTTCACATCTCCTCCCAGCTCTGCCTTCAGCGATAATGTTCGTGACCAAAATTGTCCATGGTAGGAGTGTTACACTATGGAAACTGGCAAATGCGACAAATTCAGTGCTATCCATTCTAGAGAGCCAGCTTACCAGTAAACCACCAATTTCAAACACATGAAGTGTACTAAATCCTCACATAACCATCATCCAGCTTCAATAATCATCTCATAGCCACTTTTGTTTACTTTACGTTACTCCCAGATAGATCAGGTTCACTAGAGCGTATTGGTTCTTTAATACCAGTGCCATTTTAGTTATCTTAAACATTTTTGTCTAGAAGGTATGTGAAAAATATAGATCATGTGGAGAAAGTAAACAATCCCATAACCTAGAAGTGGGTAAGAGTCATTAGGAGTGCACTTTTATCACTTACTGAGAACATGGTCAAGAGCAGTGGCTCTTGGTCGATATATCATCTATTAAGTAGTGACCGTGTCACCTCCATGTTTGTATTAAATGTTAGCTATCATTTATTGAGCTGTACTAGAGACTATATATTTATGGTCTGTAATTATATATGAATTAACTGTATCACTTAACCCCAATAACCTTAAACCTATTTTGGAGATAAGAAATGGAGGCCTATAGGCTACATAACTGGTGAGGTGGTGTTTTTTCCTTTTTACAAGCTAAAAGGTTTTTACATTATTAAAGGCATTTACATTTTCAATGGTTGCTTTATGTCTCTTGGCCCACTAATGTAAAAAATATTTACTGCCCAGCTGTCGTGGCTCAGTGGATGAGCATCACCCTAGGATCCAGGAGATCGCAGTTTGATTCCCAGTCAGGGCACATGCCCTGGGGTTTTTGCCTTAATCTCCAGTAGGGGGCGTGCAGGAGGCAGGTGATCAATGACACTCTCTCATTGATGTTTCTCTCCCTCCCCCCTCTCTCTGAAATCAATAAAGATATATAAAAAAATTTAGCATCTATCTTTCAAAGTTTGCCAACCTATGGTCTAAAAGAAACTTAATTTTACATTGATGAAAGGTATTACCATCTATAGTATTCTTTTTGTCCTCAGAATATTTCTTTGCGGTGGGCAGAGCATACATTTTATGTCAGAATTTTATTTACTAATTGTTTTATGTATCAGACACTGTTTTGATTTTACAGAGTGCAACTGATACTCAAGAGATGTGAGTTGCTATGGTAAGCAGCAAAAGAAATACTATAACCCTGTTTTTTTCTCCAGTGCAACATCAAATTTAAATAGTGGGAAGTAAAAATGCAATGATATCCTGTTTCTTAAGAATACCAGTTTATTTAGGATTTTAAAATGTGTCGAATATTTTAAAGTACTGAAGTAATTTTATCACATAGGACATCCGTGCTTTGTTAGGAACAGAACCAGGAGTAACAGTCAAAAAGGCTTTCTATGAAGTATTTTTCTGTTATGAATAACTGCTTTTTGTAGTTTTCCCAAATGACTTTGTAAATTTCATAATTTTTACATGCCTGACTGGGATCCATGAGATAACAGAGTACAGTGTCCCAAAAATAAATCTGTGTATTAAATGAAGGATTTTCAGGTTGTAGTAAGTGAAAAAGGAAAAAAAGACCCCTTTTCAATTAGGGGCTTTACGAAGTGGAATTTGGGGCTAATCAGAGTGACCAGGATCCTTTTCTGGAAATGAAAGCCTGGTCTTACCTAAAAGAAGCCAGTGGAATTGTTACATATTTTCTTTTTTGTCATCTATTTACTATTGCAACCTCAACTAGGTATAGATAGTGCACTAGTATGAAATACTTTTAAAATACATCATCTTTTAAAAAATGGAACCTATTCAAAAAGATCACATGCGGCTACACAGGACATTGGAATGGCTGGTGTGTAATGTTTCCAAAGCCTTCATTTTTTTGTCAGCATAAATTTCCTTTATTTCCATTTCCAGTAGGGTTTCATTTGAAGGTTAATGTATCAAGCCAGTATAAAGCTTTACAACTTAGTAATTCTGGACTCCAAGTCATTTAAGATAAAAATGGGAATGTGAAGTTTAAGAAAAATCAATTTTCTTCTTCTGTTATATCCAAGTCTTCATCATCATCATCATCTGCCTGCTGGTCCTTTCTTAGCCGACATACCTGTTAACACATTTTTAAAAATTCTAACTTAAAAATATTTTTACATGTTTGGTGTCTTAAATATGCCCTTAGAGAGAAGGGTACATAGAACAAATATTTTAGAAAAATGTCCGTAAGTAATGATTTTTAGTAGTGAAAATTCTCCATGAATTAATTGTATTTTAAGGTGTAAAACAGTCAAAAGGTTTTTCACTCGTTATTTTTTTGAATAAAAATGTGAATCATTCCCGTTGGACACCAGTACTTCAACAACATAAAATACTTTCCAAAAAAAGTATAGTCTTAGTATATTATGAATGTCAAAAAAATTTCAGGTTAAACTATTCTTGGGTCTCAAAACAGGTACTTGAGAATGATCAAAGGGATAGCAAGCAAAACCAAGCATATTTCAGCTAGGCAACGGAAATACTAAATTTTAAAAATAGTGCGATTTAAATGGAATGAGTTGGTAAACTGAATTCACCACTTAGCTTTAAGTCCTTATGTTAATCACTTGGGTCATCTTGTTTCAAACCTTTCTGAGAGTGATTATACCTCCTAGGGGATGTTTGGCAATGCTTGGCAACACTGTTAACTGTCACACTGGGTGCGTGTTTGTGTGTTACCAGCATCTTGTCAGTAGTGACTAGTGATGCTGCTCAACATATGTATAATGCACAGGGCAGTACTACCTCCTCCACAACCAAGTTATCAGGCCCCAAGTCTATAGTGCTGAGGTTGAGAAAACCTGGGATATCTTAAAGTGCTATACAGATGTTAGCTAACTTAGGTAACATCATTAGCTCCAACTAGTCAAACAAAACTTTATATGTACTATAATACTAAATTTATGTAATTTATGTGTATGGCACTTAATACAGGAATCAAAAAAGTTAAGGGGAGCGATGCATGAATATAAAGCAGTAAATAAATGCTTAGAGGCGAGTCAGATGAAAATAGAAGGTACTGGGTCAAATTTACCTAAAAGTTTATATTTTGAAAATATTTTGCTCAATTTTAAATTCTGAAGGCAAGATATGAAAAACAGCTCTCTAGGTGAGAAGTTGGCAAGCTATGGCCCAGTTTGCCTGTTTTTTAAAAAAATAAAGTTTTATTACAGCACAGCCGTCTGATTTTCTTAATGTATTGTTTATAGCTGCTCTTAGTTGGGACAGAGACCCTATAGCCCACAAAATCTATTATTTCTCTCTGTGGTCCCTTAGAGAAAAAGGTGGCTGACCTCTCCGTTCTACATACCAGGTACTTCAGGCTTTCTGGCAATAGAAGACATGAGAAAACTGGCTCTCTAAAGATCTGTGCTTCTGGATCTGTGCTGATGTTCAGGAAAAGCCCTTTTTAGGTATACTTTCCAATAAATCATAGTGGGGCTTAAACCCTAAGCAGTTTTACTTCAGAACCAGTGCCATTCTTGCACCAGAGAACACATCTAGATGATTCTGTCCTTTCCACCTTTGTTCTGAAGTGTTCTGCTTTAGAGAGTGTGTGATAGTTTACAAAACAATACAAGGAATAACAGAGCTGCACTTAGTGCAATCTGACATCATTTTACCTGAGAGGACAAGAAAAGGTAAGTTATATGAGGTCATATGACTTAAGGGAAGTATTTTTAGCGTTGAACAATTCCAAAGGCAGCAACTCAAATTCTTTTAAATTATGGTTTCCAGCTCACCTGTCCTGTTCCAGACACACACTTAGCTGACAGTGATCTCTGAAGAGGCGACTTTGAATTTGCTCTTACAATATCTAAACGAGATGAATAATCCGGTGGATACAGAGAATTTCGGAAAACCTGTTGCAATGATAAAACATCATGAAGTGGATACGAAACAATGGAAATCTAGAAAGCCATGTTAAATTCCTCTTAGTTATTTTTTTAAGAGCAACCTCCCCCCCCGCCCCATTCCCTGGTAAAAAATGTCAATTTATTGTAAATTTAAAACAAAAATACCAAAAATATTTTACATTGTAAAGATGAAGACTAAAAAAATTCTATTTGAACCATATATGATGATGATGGGGCCTGGGACAATCACTTGAGATTCTGCTGGGGAAATGTGAAAGTTCCTGCCTCCCTGCTTCCTTCTGTTCTGCCCATCCTCTGCTCTTCGCAATTTGCCTTCACTGTCACATCAGGGGAGTAAGTTGGAGCTGTTGTAACTTAGGGATTCTAGGACCTGGACTGCCATTACTTCCAGTCCTTTTTCCTTAAAGCTGTGGTTCTAAATCTTGCCGCTTTCTTAAGCCTCCTTACCTGTATCTTCTCTCTTCCCCCATTTCTCTGACATGTAGCCTAATAGGTAAGGTTGGCAGATGTGAATTTCTTCAATTTCCCTCCCTTTTTCCTTAACTCTTCACCCCATCTTTTTTTTAAAGTAAATATTCTGGTTCTTCCCAAGGTGGATTTTTCCTTTCTCCAAAATTTCAAACCAAACCAACAAACAAAAGCTTTTTTTCTCCACAGGTTCCCTCCCCCAGCAAACAAACTCAAGATGAGCCCCCCCTTTTTAAGCTACTTTAAGATACAACTTTACTCCTTAAGAAACTTCTCAACTATTCTACTTCTCCATTCGTCAGTAAACTATAATTAGGCTTCCACCCTCCACTGAAACTGCTCTTGACAAAAATCACCAGCCACCTTTTTGTCACCTTCATGGACCTTGTACTGAAACTTACTTTCCATGCACGCCATCGCTACACTCTTCATGTGCCAGCGGCCCTGTTTCTTCACATCTCCTTTTTTATTGCTTGCACCATAAATATGTAGTTAATGTTTATATTAAATAAACACTTAATATGTTTTTATTGACGTTAGAGAGGGGAAGGGAGGTGGGTAGAGAAACATTTGGATGAGCTGCCTCCCGGGCACGTGCCCTGTACGGGAAACGGACCAGTGACCTCTTGGTTCATGGGTCAACACGAAACCACTGAGGACACCGGCTGGGCTGAACTGTAAATAGTTTTAAAGGGTTTCCCTTAGGCCACTTCTCCTTTTTTGATACCTTTCTCTGAAAGAAGTTACCTAGTGTTGAATGGCTACCCTTCAACCAGTTCTCTACAGACTCTCTTCTGATAGCTGTATTTGTGCTAGCTACCCTCTTCTCCTAGACCTGCACTGCCCACTAGAACGTTCTGAAATGATGGACATGCTTACTGTTCTAGGCTGCCCAGAAAGGCCACATGTGGCTTCTGAGCCTTTGAAATGTGGTTCCTGTGACTGAGGAACTAATTTTTTTTTTAAGTGGTGGGTTTTTTTTTTGTTTTTTGTTTTTAATATATCTCCATTTCAGAGAGAGGAAGGGAGAGGGAAAGAGGTAGAAACATCAGTGATGAGAGTCATTGATCGGCTGCCTCCTGCACGCCCCCTACTGGGGATTGAGCCCAAAACCCAGGCATGTGCCCTGACCAGGAATCAAACCCCGATCTCCTGGATCATAGGTTGATGCTCAACCGCTGAGCTACGCCGGCTGGGCAGGAACTTTTAATTTAACCTTAAATAGCCACACATGCCTACTGGCTACTATACTGGACAGTGTACCTCTAGATTCACCTTTGTAATGAAAGAAATTACCATTTATTTAGTAGACTGAGCTAGAAGCCTGGGCATTCTCCCTAAATTTCTTACCTGAGGTACTTCTGTTTTAGTTTTTGACTACACAGTTTTCTTAATGGCTTACTTAAAATTATCTTACCAAAGACCAAAATATGGTTTCCTATACCAGAAAATTTTGCGACTCCTGACTACCCAGAGTTCAGATGTCTCAGGTGACATCCGCTTAGGATCTTCACTTCTAGCCTATACATGTACCTACATGCTAGGACATGTGTACTCCGACTTTGCTGTGCTGGTTTCTCATCCTGGAATTCCAGCAAACTCACTCATCCTTCAAAAGCCAACTCAAATTCCGTCTTCCCCCATTCTCTTCTAGTCAGTAGCTCCTACTGTTCACACCCTCAGTACAGCTTTTATCTCACTGTTTCGTAATTACATATGTCTCCACTAGTTTTAGGTTCCTCTAAAGCAAGGAGACCTGCTTTATCTTTTCAGATTTTCCTAGCTTAAGATAGTGACCTCGTAAATGAAGGATGCTAACATGATCTTAATTCTGATGTTTTGGGGGGGAAAAAGGAGACCAAACTAGAGGATATCTATGCATTTCTTTAAACCTTAAAGTACAGAACACAGAAGGAATCAAGGGATGAAACTTAAGAGGCAACACTTGTGTTTTAGGGCAATTCAGGCATATTTGGAAGGGATACATTTTTGTTAGAACAACATTTTTTAAACTTTTCTAGCAAAATGAAGTAAAAGTAGACCATATATACCCTTGGGATAAAATTTTAAACCAGTTAAATATTAAAATTAATCTCTTAATGCAAAACAACATATTTACTGGCAATAATGCATTTTCCAAAATGGTCCAAGATCTCTTCTAGGAGGGAGTCTCAAGATCTGAGTAAGCTCTGAAGTGACTGCACAGAGAAAATGGGCCTGACAATACTTTTTATGTGAAGAACAAATAAGGTAAGATGGTTTGATATAGCTAGATGCCTGAGAAAAATTCGGTGCTGCTAGAATAAGCCTTGGTAGTTCTCATAAAGCACAGACTACCTAAGGAAAATATCAAGTGATTTCTCTGTCCTTCTCTGTATATTTCCTCTCCATGTTCCCAAGAAACCTTGCATTTAAAGGATTCTTTCTCTTCTTGGTACCTGTTTGATATAAGTTTACTTCCCCTGGCCTTGCAACTCTCCCAGGCTGTCTTCTCTTTTCCTCAATTCCTGTTTGGCATAATAGTAATAGTTTTCACGTATAATTCATTATGCCTCAGAACTTTTGTGTATCTCTCTCTACCCTCTGCCTGAAAGTTGTTGCCAGGCATTCTCCTACTCATCCCTCAAGCTTCTAATGAAATCATTCTTTTGATACTTCAGACTATTTAGAATCCTCCATCACATTACACTCATAGCACATTGTGTATTTTCTCTCTGAGACTGGTCACATTGTAAAACTTAAATAGTTACGCAGTATATTTTTTTATTGTCTGAACTCCATGGTAGGTTTTTAAGTTTCTGCTTTGACAAGTTGGACCATTTCCATTTTATAATGCTAAATCCTCAGCACTTAAAATTATGCCTGGCATATAACAGCAGCTCAATAAACAGACCAATTTTCTGATTCACGTCTTTCTAATAACACCACCTACCTCAGGACTGAGGGGCGAGTGAGAAAATGCACGTAAAGCTTTGGGTACTGTGCATGGTGTGAACAATCGGATGTTCCTCAAATCAATGAATGTTTTTATTTTTAGCACACTTAAGTGACTTATGTTACCAGTCTAAACGATACATTATTTCACGTAATGGCTTCACTTAGATTATATCTTATTGGAACTTTACCATGGTTAATTTGAAAAGTTAAAAACAAATAAATAGGATAATCATATGAGTTCAGCTATTTGGGACTGCACACAATAACAAATTAACCATTGTAGTATCCTAATTTAAGATATTTTTTACCCAAATAAACTAATGCTTTCTTAAACATTTCTATATTAATAGAAGAATTAAGCTTAGACAGACACAGTCCTACCTCTAAGTCTTCTTCTTCGTCAATCTTTTGTATGTTTTGGTAGGCAGCAGTGAAGACCTCTAAAGCTTTGCCATGAAATAGCATTTCAATAGTGATAAATTCTGAAAATATAGTCTAAAAAACACAAAGATTTGAATTTAAACAATCATAAAAATTGCATTGTGAATGTAGTAAAGCTACTCCTTACCCTATATAATCTTGCCATTTTATGAACTACAGAGGTATCTTTTTTTTCTACAGGGCAAATAGAAAATAGCTGCAAGATCTTTTGTAGCAAAACTTTCAAATTATGCAAAATATTTCCTATTTCACCATTTGCTGACCCCTCTTATTTTTTGTCACAGTTCTATTTATACCTTGGTAATTGACATTTGTGATAAAAAAAGTTCTTACTTAAATGTATGCCATTATGTACTGTAACCACATGCCTAGAAGTATTAGATAAAGCAGTTCAGTTCTGAAGCTGATATGTTAGCAACTACAACTGATGTTTAAACAAAAGAATGTTTTTTTGGACAGGAATTATATCCCATCATAGTTTTGACTACATGTCACTTATATTCTCTAACCACAAAGGAATTACTTGGTAGCAGTGCTATTCCTGCCACCGCTGAGAGCAACACACTCCCATGCAGCTTCCCAGCTCACAAACACAGGACTCGCCCAGTGTTGCTGGGATGGAACGTTGACGCTTCAATGCGATTCTTCGGAAGTTGCAGCTCTGGCTCATCGCACTGTGTTGTTCTTGCTGGAAACAATAATTTCCTTTACAGAAAAATGTGCGGGTAACCTCTATGAACATGACAACTATGACACGGAAGGTAACGAGCAAAGAGCATGAAGATGCACACGTTGATCTGAACAGAGGTGAGATAATCCGTAGGCAGAGAAAGGATACAAACCAGACAAGTTCAATATAAAAAAGGATCATACCATTTTTAATTATCTTGCCCCTTATCAAATGAAAAATCACAGCATTAAATGTAGGGATAAGTGGGCAGGGTAAGAAGAAGGTAGGAAATACTCAAGCATTGTACTTAAAGGGTAAAGACAGAAGAGATGGGTTAGGCTAGAAAGTAAGTTGGATACCTACTTCCCTTCACTCCCGCTCTCCTGTTCCCCCCAGAGAAGGAGTGTTCCTGCAGTTTGGAAGACAGTCACAGATATTCCTCAGTGTCCTATGATTTTTTTTTTCGCCATCTCCATTTTTTCCTTAAAGACTAGGAAAATATTTAAGGGAGTACTAACAGGCTTCTATCACTACTCAGTGGAAACATCTGGAGTTGAAAGTATCCCTTCTGAGCTGCCAAGCACATATGTGGGGTCTGGCTGCAAAGACTGGGCTCTGGGATAAGAGACATAACTTTAACAATGACCCTTACTATCAGTTCATATAGGTCACCGAGGGCTCTGGCACACTGGACTGGCAACTGACAATAAACTGTATTATACCAAGACACAATTTTGGATTTCACATCAAGAATCCCTGAGTTATCCAGGAATAAATTAGAAGTGAAGTGGCTTTTGACTAGGGCTGGGACTCTCTTAGTTGTCAGTCTTCCTAGATAGCCGTCTAGCTAGAAGGGAGCCAGGGGCCCTTTAGAAGCATGGGAACTCCTAGTGGGAAAACTGCAGGGCCAGGAGTCAGTGAAAAGCCAAAGCATTAGGATGCTACTTGTTCTTGGTCTGAGCTTGCTTTAGGTGATAAAAACAAGCACAGGCTTACATCTTTCCTTCTGAATCTTAAATTTAAAGATTCTCTCTACAATTAGTAAATAAAGAACTATATAAAGATAATATAGACATAGTTTGACTTTATTTTTACTCAAGGCTAGAACAGAAATTTGTTTTTTAATTATTTAGGCTTAAAACGAGAATTGCAGAATAAGCTGTGAGACGTGTCTACGGGAGGAGAGGGAGGTGAAGGACACAGGTTAGGGGCAGACTCTGTTCTCGCTTTCCCTGCACAGAGGATTCAAAGCCCATCCGCTTGCTGACATGGACCCGCTTACAGGCACAACATGTTTCACTGCACTTTGCTTTACTGTGCTTTGCAGATACTGTATTTTTTTACAACTGAAGGTAAGACCCTCCACCAGGGTTCAGGTGATGATCAGCATTTTTTAGCAATAAAATATTGTTTAATTAAAGTATGTACATTGTGGGGTTTTTTAAGACAATACTCTTGTACACTAGAATACAAGATAGTATAAACATAACTTATATGCACTGGGAAATCAAAGTAAGGGCGAGTGGCTTTGCTGTGACACTGGCTGCACTGTGGTGGTCGGCAAAGAGCCCACTACATCTCCAAGGTCTGCCTCTCCTTACATGGGGAGAGAAGAGGCATTTGTCTTACTCTATAAAAAGCACCTGATGAAATAAAATAGCCTCCAGTGAGGAATGAAGTTCTGAGCTGCCTTTTGCTAGTAGAATTCTACTTTGATCTGTTTAGAGATACTACTCTCTTAATTCACATTAAGTTAAAACATTAGTGTATAAATCCTATTGCAATGATGTATAAATAAAACTGATAAAAATAAATTATGCTTCAAGGAACACCATGAAGAGAGTGAAAAGAACCCACAGAATGGGAGGAAATAATGCAAATCATACATCTGATAAGGGACTTGAATCTGAATATACAAAGTACTTTCACAACTCGACATAATATGAAGACAACCCAACTAAAATGTGGGTGAGGAGTCTGAACAGACATCTCTTCAAGGAAGATAAATGGCCAATAAACCTCAGCAGGGAAACGTAAATCAGAACTACAGCGAATTGCTACTTCCCGCCTGGGTGACTTAACATGAAAATGGATGAACAGTAAATATCAGTGAGGGTGCAGAGCTGGGACCCTCACAGCTGTGGTGCAGTTACTCGGGAAGACAGCCCGGCAGTTTTCACATGATGAAAGAGTTTACCATATATCCAGCAATTCAACTAGGTATGTACCTAAGGGAAATGAAAATCCATGTCCATGCAAAAGCTTGTACATGAATATCATTTACCATAATAGCCAACAGGCAGAGACAACCCAAATGTCCATCCTCTGATGAAGGAGGAGAACGTGCCAGTATCCACACAATGGAGCGTTCAGCTGTGAGAGGGCATGAAGTGCCGACACGCTCCAATACGGACGAGCCTTGAGAGCATTATGCTAAGTGAAGGAAACCAGTTACAAAAATCATGCATTTTAGGGTTCCATTCATATGAAATGCCCAGAATAGCCACATTCATAGAGACATGAGAGTAGAGGTGGTTACTTAGGGCTGAGGTAGTTTTATTTTTAATTTTTTGAGGAACCTCTATAATGTTTTCCATAGTGGCTGCACCAACTTGCAATCCCACAAGGTGAGGACTGGGTAAAAAAGGCGACGGTTTAAGAAGTACAAATTGGTAATCACAAAAGTCATGGGGGTTTAAACTTAGGAAATGCAGTCAATAATATTGTAATAACAATACCTGATGCCAGGTGGAAGACATATGGGGGGGATCACTTTGTAAGTTGTATAAATGTCTAACCACTATGCTGTATACCTGAAACTAGTATAAAATGCCACTGAATGCCAACTATAATTAAAAAGTAAAAAATAATCAGTAATTTAAATTTTTCATAAATTTAAATAAAACATAAAGGCTAGAAAACATGTTTTGAACCTTAATAGTTACTTTATTACCTTTATATCCTTTATTTTCTGCTTTTCAAAATTGTCAATAGTTTCCTCTAGCTGACGAGTTGTTCGGGTAGCATCCATTGTAGCTCTCTGTAATTCGGTTTCTGCCTACAAAGGTATTGCCCCCAAAAGATATGAAAAACACTAAGTCAGAATCCATTCACTTGAGTCTATTTGTAAACGCTACCATTGCAGTATTGCCTTTTTTTTTTTGCTTAACAATGTAAATATCTGATAATTTTGCCACACAAAATAAAATGATCTATATAAGCACATGCAGAATAAAGAAAGTTAAATCTATTAAGTGACATGATTCATGATCTCAAACAAATGAAAACAAAACTCCTCCCTTTCTACAAAAATCATTTTTTCTCTATATCACCCTTGGATGATTTACTATAAAACAACTGTCTGTATTTTTCTACTGTTTTCACCCATTTCACTTCTGTGCCATTTATCGTAATACTTTTGTTCTCATCATTTCTCTCCCCTTTAACCCTATCTTCCGAAAAACAAAGGGCCTCTGACTGAAGTATTTTCAAATTTCTAGTTCTTCTAATACATTAAATGTTTCTAATTCTGTAATATTCTAATCAGAACATATACTACTTATATTTATTTCAGCATTGAGTTTCTATTTGTATGTTCTTATAAGCCAACATATCACACTGTTACTATTTAATTAATGCTTACTACAAGAAATACTATATATACCAGTAACTAAGAAATCAGACAAGTCTAATGCTTTACTTCACATATGCTAGTAAGTGTTCACACCATCCAGTCAGTGGTGGCACTAGCCACATGCCACTATTTACACTTAATTAAATGAAAACTTAAAATCTGGTTTCTCAGTTACTCTAGTCACATTTCAAGAGCTCAATAGCCATGTATATATAGCTTGTGGCTACAGTTCTGTAAAGTGCAGAATATTTCCAATCTCATGTGTTTCTCTTAAAAAAGCAACTCTTCCTTTAGGACAATAGTTATCCAAAAATATTTAAGATGTTTTTGTTAAACAGTAACATAGATATATTGAAAGACCAATTTTCTGATTCAGTTCTTTCTAATAAAGTTTTATTTCCTATGCTAGTATTATATTTGCTCAAAAGTATCACATATCATCATTTAATAGTTAATGCATGGGAAAAATTTGCATCTGTCACCATTTTTCACACATAACATTCTGACAGTTAGCTCTTGCTTTCTTTTCCAAAAAAATGTATATATTGAAATAAGGAAAATGGTTTACTCTAAGGATCCATCTCGACACACCACTTTATTACCCACCTGTGACTGAAGTTTTTCATAAAGGAAAAAATACATTTCAAAGGGAACAATTTCTTTTTCAATAATTTAAAACCATATAGTCTTAAAGAATTATGTACTCTTACAATTAGATTATACATTAATTACAACTATCAATTATATACTCTCATGATTAGGTTAAACACAATTTCAAGATACTAAGCATTTAAAAATACATTCACTTGTACCTCTGTATTCGTGCATGTATCTTGCCATATACAGTGTTAAGTTTTTTAAAACCATACAAGCTTAACTTTAATCATAGCTAGTAATCAAAAACAATTCTCTATGTTACTGGATTTGGGATTTAAAAAAATGTAACTTCATCATAGGAAATTCAAAAGTAAAATAGAGCTCCTTTGAAGGTTCATTAGTATGAAAAAATTTCTTCCAGTTATTCGATGCATGTTAACCCTTTACTAATGAGTGTTTCATGCAAATCTTTTTTTTTTCTTTTCTTCAGTTCCTTACTTGTGAATACTTTCTTTTGATTCACATCTTTCCCCTTCCCATTTGCTGATAGTTTCATTTTAAATTCTGGAAGGGTAGATAAATTTGGCTAAACAAGGAACTGGGAAGCAGAAGCTATAGCTGGGACATCAGTGTCTGCACCTACCACCCTCTAGCAACTATTCACTTCTCAGTCTCAAATCCCTGGAATCCAGCATGGCATCTTGCCCAGAGTCACACAGCTATTTTTATCACAGAGGATATAGATTTCTGTTCTTCCTTTTGTTGAGAATTCTTCAAAATCCTAAAATATACCATTTGAGTAGGAAATGGTTTTGATTAAAATATGTTATGACTTTATGAATACCAGTATATTTACTGAAAGTACGAGTGCAAAATGGCTTATAAAGGGGTGAGCCAGATTGGGGTTTTTCAGATTGAGTTCCAGGCAGCTTGTCCAGAAGCCACCCGGGCCTTGGGGCGTGAGCAGGCGGAGCCCGGGGAGTCTTCTTCACCTTAGCCTCTTGTACCAGAACAACTCCATGTTTTTTTAAATTTTTTTTTTTTTTTTATTGATTTCAGAGAGAGGAAGGGGAAGGGGGAGAGAGAGAAACATCAATGATGCATCATTGATTGGCTGCCTCCTGTATGCCCCCTACTGGGGATGGAGCCCAAAACGGGGGCATGTGCCCTGACCAGGAATCAAACCGAGACCTCCTGGATCGTAGGTCAAAGCACAACCCCTGGGCCATGCCGGCCAGGCCTCCGTTTTGTTTTATATACTGAACTTTCATGTGCTTCTTTTGAATAGTCGGATGAATTTTAAGGGCCCATCCTGAATAACTGTCTATGGTGCTATGATTGAATATATTTACATTTATACTTATATCAAACATTTGTATGTAGATTGTCCTTTATGTTCTTGCCTGGGGTTGTCAAAATACCCTGGATTCACAGCTCTTTCCCAGTGAGCACAGCAATTCACCTACAGCAATAAGCTATTCAGTTGCCACATTTTTCTGCCCATGTGAATCTGCAGACCTGCTTCATCTACGGTCCAAGAGTACTTCCTCCATAGCAGTGTTCAAAGAACAGCATCTACGTCAGTAACATCTGTGTTTAGGAATAGGTTCATTTGTGTTGTCAGTACTAACAGCCCTCACTCAACCTTGCCAACCACTCAGGATTCCAGATGTGACTTTTTATGCCTTATTTACTCAAAACAAAACAGCAAAATTTTGACCTCTGGCTTAATTCTTAAAAACTAGTGACATCCCCTGGCCTCTGCCTTGGTCCCTGCTGGTCAGCCATAAATTTTCCAGCATTCTCTGGTTTTTCTGACTGACTTAAAACCCAGACTCTCATCTCTAGTTTGTAGATCTGAAGCCTCCAGTACTGTCTAGATGTTCCTGTCCCAGCCTCCAACGGGTAGTCCCAGCCCTATGGCTGCCCATTTTTGTTTATTACAAGGTTGGGCATATGTACCTTTGGTCCAAAGGAAGGAGGACCAGGCAATTGGCGTAGCCCCAAATCACTGCTCAAGGGCTTCCCCTCAGGAATGGAGGTGTCTGGAACCTCAAGTGCCCCCAAAGAGCCACTCCTCATGTGGTTTCTGGCTGAGCTGGGCAGTAAAAACCTTAAGGAAGCAGGAAGGAGACATAAGAAATGGGAAAAAGGCAGTGGGATAAGTTAGTACTTTCTATACAATTGCACCTATCCCAGATGCTGGCAGTTTGCTAGGCACTATTTTCTGTTCTTTGGTTTAGTCACGAACAAGGCACACAATCCAGTTTAAGAAACATTCTTAACAGAAGAACTTGGCTACAGTGGACACTCCTGTCCAGATCAGTCTGTGCCCAGCTGGGGACATCAAGTGTACTCTGAATCGCCTCAGGGTTTTGACTGGAAGTAATAATTGTGGTTTCATATAGTGGTTTTGTTTTGTTTTTTTAAGATAAAGGGAATTGCATTGGCGAAAAAAAGATTTTCCTTTTCTTAAAAACAGGGAAGATGGCATTGCTAAATTATAATTAATCATAGGTCTTTAATTTTATAATTAACACTTAGTCATTTTCCTACAAAAAAAATCTCAGAACCCTGAACTTACTCTTTATAAAAACATCTACACTTCTGAGTGTTTCTTTTTTGAGTATCTATTGTGAAAAACAGTACAAGGGGACTGGATTAGGTAGTGTATTCTCTTTAAAATTATCTAATTTCTACAGTGAAAATCCATAAATGCCTATTTTTTCAACCATTATGTTCAAATTCTCAGCACATTTAGAAGTTGAAATGCATAATTTCCACACACATTTGCTTTTGTACTGCATACCTTACAAAATGTGTTTTTAAAGATCAAGATTCAAAGGATACAATAACATGTCGGTCAGATGGGTTTCGCTGCCGAGTTCTTTCTAACTGAGTTAACTGTTTAGCTTCTCGATTCCTGGCTGTTAATGTTGCCTTGAGGTCGTCCTGCAAATAGACATTTTTGTTAATAATAATCTGTGATTTTAGAGATAAATGCATACATTCTGATTTAAGAACAAGAGAATGATCTGGTTTGATCCAGGCATCTCATGACCACAGGAATTATTACTGTATAATTAGTGTGCGTCTTTGCATGTGACAGTGCACACATGCGTTTCTTTAATGTCCCCTCAAAATAATAACAAAGACAAGGTAATTTCAATGCAAAACTACAACCACGTAAACACAAATCAACATACATATATATATATATATATATATATAATTTTGATGGTGGTAGTTACATGTATATATACATTTGTCAAAATTCAATGATTAAAATGGGAGAATTTTATTACATGTAAATTATACCTCAATGAAGTTTATTTTAAAAATAGAACTTTGAGGGTGTAACACGGTATGGTGACTACAGTTAATAGCACTGTATTGCATATATGAAAGCTGCCTAGAGCAGATCTTAAAGCTCTATTCACACACACACACAAATTGTAATTTTAGTGACAGATGTTAACTAGACTTATTGTGGTGACTATTTCACAATATAGACAATTATAAAATCATTATGCTGTACACTTGAAACTAATGTAAAGTCACTTATACCTCAATTAAAAGACAGACTTTGTCACACTCAGTCTACATTTATTACCTGCTCTAAAACAAAAGTATAAACTCAAATGTAATTAGTAAAATAATTTCTGTTCATATATTCTTCATGATTATAAATATTATGTGTCCATAATAAACAAAATGTTGCTTTATGTTGCTACAGTAGTATACTTAGTCAGCTCACTAAAAATCTCTCTTTATTCTCAAAGATCTAAAAAATGACTCTTCAGAGTATGTTAAAATATCTAAACACTACTTTGTACTTTTTATTAAAAGAACAATTATTGGAAACCTTATACTCTTTGCTAGAATACCTAATAATAGTAGAAAAATAATGAATTTACTTACTCGTTTCATTTTTACAATAGTTCCATAAGCTTTCAATGGTTCAACTACTTTGGCTTCAAGTCTTTCAACCTATTAAAAATTATTATAAAATATAACTGAAAAGAAACATAGATCAAAATTTCAATTCTGAAATAAAAGCTGTGTTTAACCTAAAAATAATTACCACACAGACTAATTAAAAAAAATTTCAAATTAAAATGTCATAGTTCAACTTATCTTCAGTAATCACCAGAATTGATAAGACTCGGAATCTAAACTTAAACACATTAAAAACTGTTAAGCTGTATAGTAACAAAGCCAAAAAGCACCTGGTGTGCAATATGACGAGAAAACGTCTGTTTTCCAAGGAGCTCATCCTTGCCATACCACCATCTCTGTATCACTTTTGTACCTTAAAGTAAGTAGCTTTTGGGTAAGTTTTAAGACATCTCAAATTTTTAATACAGTTAATCAGTTTGAGTGTGTTTAGCACAGTGTTGGATACTCTATATATTCTCCAAAATGTAGGTAAGAAAAGCAAAGCTGAAGGATGCAGCATATTGGAAACATTTAGAGCAATACAATCCTCAAAAATCAAGAAAGCTTAGAGACCGCTGTATTAGCTGCAGTTTTTTTCTGGGAAGCCATTCATGAATTATCAAAGCTCAGAGAAGAAGATAAAATGTCTCAAGTGTTCCTGAGCTGTCAGACTATGTGGTAAACAGTTCTTAAACATTGCAATTTTTATCACATATTGGGTAATTCTTTAACTCTTGGGCATTAAAATTTTCTTTTTCAGGATAGGTAATACAAGATGACATGTATTTAACTGTTTAAGAGCATGTATTATCTTTGTAGCAGGAAAAGGGCTTTTTTCTTTTGATGATACATGTTTAGATAACCAGTGAGTGCATTCCATATTGATTTTTCTTTAGCTTCTATAAATAAAATGTATCTGAATGTTTCATTTTAAAAGATTTTATGAAAACAAAGAAAATCAAGTTCTCATTGAGCATTTAAATAAAATCAGAACGAGGAGCACTCAGGCGGGTTCATCCGCGCGTCCTGAGCCACCCGGTGCGAGGGGGTCCGAGCCCCTCTGCTCCCCGCGGGCCGCCTGCCTCACTCCTCGCACCTCCCCGCGTGGTAAGCAAGGGAATACAGGGAGCGCACGCCCACCAGCTCACGCTGCTATTTGGTAAATGGCATAAGGGTTTTCTACGAAGGGACGTCGAAGGGGCCGGCTGACGTGGGACTTCAGGGTTATCGGTGCGTGTAACTTATTTCTGGAGTGGGAAGTCACCAGTTACACATAACTGAGAGCTGCTGGTTTAGTTCGGGAGAAATATGTACAAAACCGTTTTCCAAAAAGCACACCCAAACGTAACTACTCAAATTCCTGCATGAAAAGCAATTAGAGAGATTCAAAAAGCATTATCTTTTTTTTTTTTTTTTTTTT